AATTAACGGCGGATAAGTCGCCGGAGTTGCGCCATCGAAATTGCACGGTCATTTTAAAAAAAAAACAACAAGAGAAAACTAAAAGGGGGAAGCCAAAGAGTTAATTTCCAGGTTAGAGATCCACAATGAGGGTAAACCACGAAACGTGGATGATCGCAGAGCCGGGAAAGATAAAGAGGAGTTGGAACCAGCAAGCGCATCTAAAAAAGAGCGGTAATGAGATGACCCCCCCCTAAAAAACCAGGGTCGCTCAAACGAATCGAGGCCATCCGGCAAACGCCGGAGAGGGTAGAAACAAAACGGGAGAAAAAAACTACAAACGAAGGTAAACAAATTAGGAATGAAAAACTTCCCTGACCGCCACCGAGGAAGCCAGCGCCAGCAAGGGGGAGGCCCCAGCGGGCGGGAGGAAACCCGACAAGCACCAGAAAAGAAAACCCTAGCAAACGCGGGATGGAAGCTTCTCTTCCTAATGAACAGTAAATTAAATTGTTAATGAACTTAATGGTTGAAGCTATAAATATATATATAAGGTTCAACATTCAAAATATAATTAAGAGAAAGTTGATGCTTACATTATTTTGAATATTTTGGGGTATTACAGTTAGGTCGAACCCCATCAGGGGGGCGCTACCCCCTTAAACCTCCGGCCATATAATAGCTTGAAATATCAATTTTGGGAATTTGCACTTGACGAAAACTTGATATTTAGATAAAATGTCTTCATTTTGTGCTAATACATAAAATGCAAGAAAAGACTAGCTTATACCTCTTCTTAAATTGTCAGAAAAACTCGTGTGGAACCAATTTAATGCAAGTCAATAATGTGAAAACATTTATTTGTTGAAGTTACCAACATGAGTGTAATGGAGACTCGAAGTATAAAAGATGAACTAAAACTGTGAGAACTCTTTTACCTTTTAGAAATTGTTAGTGAACTACATACAAGAATTATTCTTAAATAGTTCATTTATCACCTAAGATAACAGTTGAAAGCTGTCCAATGACTTCCATGGCATGAGAAAGAAGATGAAAATAACTAAAGCTATATTTATTACCTTATTTCTCTTATGTTAACAAACACAATTGATGCAAAAATCATTTTCAATTGCTCAAATATGTCATATTATGGCACTTTAAGGTGCCCTAATAGTCGTTATTTTTTGTAGTGTCGTAGTCTGCAGATGACAATGATCAGAGGGATCGTGTTCGGCGAGCGACGGAGGTTGGATGTGCATTAGTTGGTGGGCAAAGGAGGTCAGAGGGATTATAGTTAGAGGGGGACGGTGGTCGAACACTAGGAAATGAGCTGTTTTCCTGTAGTGGAATGTATCATCGTTGGGCGACAGTGGACAGAGGTATTGTAGTCAGTGGACGATGATGGTCGAAGTGACCGTAGTCGATGGGAGACGGAGGTTGGAGGGACTGCAATCGGTGGGTGACGGTGGTTGGAGTAACCTAATCGAGTGGCGACAGAGTTTAGACGAAGGATGAAGGCCCGATGATGACTAGTGAACGGAGGTCCAACGATGATGGTTGGGCAGAGGTCCAACAGCGACAGCCTGCTGATGAGTGTTTGCCAACAGTAGTGCTGGGGTGGAGCTCTAGAATACTTCAAACCTTAAAGCTCTCTGAAATCTCTAGCCCAAGATTTAAGCCCCATGTTCATCTGGGAAATGGGGGTCTATTATAGATTTTTTAAAATGACATGATTCATAAATATGAATAAGATCAAGGGCAAATCAGAGTGCTCCATCAGACGGCCCCATATTAATTCCTTCAATCACAGAGTATTTATACAACATTTAAGTATATTAAGGATGCTATAATTAAATGATCTTAGTCTCGTTGAGCCGCTCAATTTGACTATAAGCATGCCATACTTTGAGATCATTTGATAATCTAATTTATGTTTTGAAGCTTTCAAATATGCTTATGTCCTTTTATTTGGGCTCGAATTAGATCAATTTTTTGTGACGTTGGGTTCGTCTCTTTGATATGTTCAATTTGATTATTAGTTTGCTTAAATTGAAGTTCGAATGGTCCCGAATTTAATTTTGAAAATTACAAACTTGAATCTCTTAAGATTCATGCTCGATCAGAGCGATTTTTGGTGACGTATCGGAGCTAATTTGAATAAGATGGTACTCGACTCAACTTGATTTAATTACAATCCAAATATATTAAATTGATGGGCTTAAGTTAAATTAAAGGTAATTAATAGGCTCATATTTAAAGCTTTGTGCAAATTTAATTTGACCTGATAATGGTTAATGAAGTTGGAGGATTGGTTCCATGCCTAAATTTTGATAAGATTGAATCAAATCAACTCAATTGAGAACCACAAGTTCTAAGCCCTTTGGATGGATATTCCATTATAAACAATATTGTATAATATTTTGAGGTCCTTAGAAATGAAAATAAATGTTAATGTTATTTCACCTTAACAAAAGGCTAACAATTGAGCTAATCCATAATAATTAACTTAAACTGGTGTTAAATGTAAGGTATAATCTTTAATATTTGATTGCTTTTATTTGTGCTTAGATTCAAAAATAGGCTATGGGAACCAAATGAAGGGACTTATAGTGTGACCAGCTCACATGATTGGTGGGTTGCTGAATGTCTGTGCCTTGACTAATCGGCTCCCTGGTCTAAACAAAAAGATGAAAGGCAAACAAGTCTTTGTATAGTAGTTGTTGTTTGATTTCTTTCCTTCTTACCATTTGAAAAGGTCAACATAATAAGAGACTGTTCTGTGGAAATATCAAAATTTGATTTTGTAGAATTTTATAATGAGATAGAAGACTCATTCCCTGCTAGAGGTGGGCTTTAAGAGGAACATTGAAATATCAGAGTTTGATAATATTAATTATGAATTTGCAGGCATTGCTTTGACCTTTTCAATTTTTTTTTTCTTCTCTCAATTTTCAAACATTCAGACATATATAACAATGTTGGGATTGAGAAAATAAATCACACAACGGAACAAACAAAAAAGTGAATGCAACGAAGAGAAAAGGCACCAAGATTTAAAGTGAAAAAATCCGAAATCGAAAAATAAAACCGTGGAGCCACATCACACCAAAAAAATCACTATGAAAATTAGGAGAAATAAGTATATATCTCTCTTCAGTCTCGCTCTCCTCTTGCTTCATTTCTCTCTTGCACCATTTTTACACACAAAACAAAGAAAAAGTCAAGTTGATAACACCAAGAGACGCCACCCTTGAGAAAAACGAGAAAGAAAACTGTAGAGTCAGACTCGAAATGCTACGGCGCTCAAACCCACAACAGTGCAGCACTACACAACGTTGCGGGGCCGAATCTAGAGTGGTGTGATGCTTCGCTCTTTGTCATTTCTCCTAGCAAACTTTGTAGCACAGAGGTGCTTGGGTACATAGCATTGTGGTGTTGGGATACACAGTAATGGGGCGTTGAATATTTTTTAGGATGCAAAGCACTAGAACCCAAACAAGGGGAGGATCCGCCCGCACCCAGGGAGCATGAGAAATTGACTTGAGGTTCGAGTCAACAGTATAATCCGATTGATCGACACAATCAAATTCTACACAGACTAACAAGTAATTAATAATTACAATATAAAACATACTTCATTGTAGACACATAAAATGAGCTTTGAAAGTCGGATTGTATTTTCTTTTTGTTCAAATTATTATTATTTTCACTTATATATGCCTATGATGTTGATCATATTGAAATCAGGATTTATATTTTAATATTTTGATTCCCTCTTTAGGTTTGATTAACTGTAGCAATAATCCAAGTTCAATCTCCATCATGAACATTATATATTTCAAGCTATATGAATTTCCTAACATAACCTTTCCTTCACTGTTGCCTTCATTATATTCTTAACTATGGCGCTTTTCACAACGAACTTTTATTATGTCCGGTGTAAGGACATAGAGGAACGTCCGGTTGGAGGCAATTTCTAAAAAAAATTGAACAATAATTTTCTTTTCTATATCACACTTAAATAAATTTGATTATAAAAAACCTATTTCTTATCTTAAAAGTTTTTATAAAATGATAAAAAATTTATAAAAGAAAATATTATGATTGTTATTTGAAAAATAAAATTATAAAAAATAAAAAAAAAAACATTGTTGGGTAGCTAGCTATCAACATTGCTTTAAGTTTGTACAAAATATTTGAGACATTGTTGAGTGTAGAATCCAATGAAACATGACAGTGTGACAATTTTTGTCTTTTGAAAAAGAAATAAAATAATTATTCGAATGATTGAGAGCTATTAAAATGGTAGAATAATCATTTTCATATCTATTGTAGTCTATGTTGCAAATAGTCATAAAATTTACTAAAGTTAATTGACCTGGTCCATAACTTGTAATTTGCAATATAATTAAGGTTTTATTTGGAATAATTTTTTTTTTATTATTTTTTAAAACATCTTTTTAATATAAAAATTTTTCATTCTAAAAAATTACTTTACAAAATATCAAAAAAACTGTCCCAAATGAAACCTAAATATTTACGCCTATAGGTAATTACAAATTGGCATATATGAGCAACAACACTTCGAAAGCAATGATGAAGTTGAGATATTTCTTCTCGTTCTATTTCTTTAACTTGAATTTGGATTAAAGTTTCGTTTGTGACAATTTTCTTACTGTTTTTTAAAATAATTTTTTAGTACAATTTTTTTAAAAAAAAGTCACTTTAGAAAGAAATAAAAAAATTATCTTAAACGAAGCCTAAGTTATGGCATCCGGTAAATATTGACTATAAATATTAAAATGCTTGATATAACAAGTCATTACACTTTAGGCATGCATTTTTTTTTTAATGATGATCAATAAATTATAAAATATGTAAATTGAATAAGTTGAATTCATAACTTCAGAGAAATAATCTTCTCCATCGACTAACTTTATAAAACACGGCAGTCATCCCAAATCAATTCTTAATATTGCACAAAATATGAGCACAAAATATGAGTTTTTTTAGGCTGAAAGTGAGAAAATATCTTGATGCATGATCAGAATTTGGGATATAACTTCAGGAGGATACAATCCTGAGAATAAAAAAATATTGTGATGAATGTGAGTTTGAAATATAACATAATTCAATCACTTTCAATCCTGAGTTTGAAATGAGGGTTGTTAGGATCTATTTTGAAGCTGCATATACAGTGCATAAACTTCTCAACTAATATTCTAAATCTTTTTTTGATGGAATTGCATGCCATTGACATCTTAAACAAATTTTTAACACAAATAAACAGAATCTCTACAGGCTGAAGATGATTTGCACAAGAGAGGAGTAAGTACCAACTACTGAAATCAAAACCCCTGTAACCATAACTCCAACTATAACAACCATTTCGAACTGATTCCTTTGAGAAGAAGCCCTGTAGATCTTGATATAAAAGACGCAAGGAAACAAAACTGAGACCATGATGCTAAGGAATGATCCAATGAATGCCATAAGGTAGCCAAAGAAAGGTATTGATAGAGCCATTAAGACTGTGCTGAGCAGCAAGAGAGTCCTAACTAGGATGCTGTAAGATCTCTTCAAATGAAAAGCTAACCGTTCTTCTATAGACAAAGCGATTGGTGTAATAGTTAGAGCATACTTGGCAAACGGATTGATCAATGTTGTGAAGATCGCTATCTTTGAACCAATCTTCCCAGCTGGAAGATTCAATGTAACTTGTGATTTTAAGTCATCGCCATACATAAGATAACCCAAAACAGCCATGGTTCCATAGTTGAAAGTGCAAAGAGCAAATGAAATTACAAGTACCTGTAATGGAAGCCAGAAATACAAAGTGTTCAAGGAAAGCCATTTCATAGAATCAACAATAACAGCTCCATCAAGACTACATTTTTTTTACTGAAAAGGAAAAAGACTACTTTTAGATTGATGAATGATTATATTGAGAGCTGCATCTTTTGAAGATGGTTAAAAATAGATTTAGATTGTTAGAGAAAATACAAAAGAAGATAGAAGATGCACCAAAATATATAAGTAATCTAGAAAGATAAAGAAGAAAAATGAGTTGACTTAATTTATATAGCTTGTTATAAGTGCAAAAAAATACTAAAGTCCTCATTTTAGCATTGAACAAGAATGAAAGGGGAATAAAAATTTATATAGTTGATGTCAAATATATGGTTGCGATAAGGATGATGATGGTTTATACTTCTCATGATTTTCCAAAAAATAAACTAGAATTTTGTGGAAAATAATTAAGAATCTCTTAGAAATTCCATTCCATTGCAGTTTATTAGTGGTCACTTCACCTTGGAGAACTTGATTTTTTCCCTCATTGAAGCGTGAATAGTTGGAAACACTGCATGACTTGTGAAACACACAAAAAACAAGCCCAAAGCTGTAGGCAATCCACTTAAATTGAGCACTCTTCCTTGCATCTGAAATCCAGTTTCAGTTACTCCAATCCAAAGCAAAGAACACATCAAAATAACCGACGCTACAACTCCTCCGGCGGAAATGTAAGCAAGACCATCCAGATTTCTTAACCATGTTGTTGGCAAGACAAGCAGCGCAGAGATTAAAAGAAAGAGTTGTTTTCCTTTGATTGTCTGTGACAGAAACTGAAATTCTAAATTGGGGAACAGATTATCTAAGTTATCACCCTCCAAAATCAGAAAGCTAACAGCAACGAGATAAAGCTCTATATACATGAATATGCCAACAACAATTCTTCCCTTGTAACCAAAAGCAAATTCACCAATATCTGAATAGCTTCTGATGTGTGGGTCAGCGTCCATACAACGTTGGATGAGTAGGCCAGTGTAGAAGCAAACTACGGCAACCACAAAGAAAAGAAGAAGGCTTATCCAACCTCCTTCTGAGAGTGCATATGGTATTGAAAGCACCCCAATTCCTAATGAAACAATGAATAAGACAGATAAAACAATTTGAATTAGTTGAATTGTCTAAAAACTTTAACCTGTATCAATAAATTGTTGAAACTAATTATTTCTTATCAACTTTAGGACTAAAAGGTTGGATTGAGTTCAATTAACTATGATATTATTTCATTAATCAGTAAAAAACTTGATGACAAACGATAGCATACCACAGGTTGACAAGTTCAATGGGAGTTGTTTGTTTCATCATTATCTCATCAGTCATATTATCCAGATAACAATATTATTTTTGAAACGCAACATATTTGTTTTAGATTTTGTTTGGGACGGCTTTCTTACTGCTTCTTAAAACAGCTTTTTAGTTAAAATTTTTTAATTTTTTTCTAAAAAATTGCTTTAAAAAGCAGTAAGTCCCAAACGATGCCTTAATATAATCATACTTATATAGTACTGTAATGCTGTAAATAATACTGTAAAACAAGCACAGTAATCAAAATCAATAAGAATGGCAAAAATGTTAATATCACAACTGCAGCTGATTTCTTAACATAGCAAAGAAGAAAATAGATGTTGTAATTGCTTCCATATATTAGCTTTTAGCTATCATAGATTCAAGCAGTCTAAATGAAGCATGCTTATCAAAACCTCATAAAAGAGAACAAAAAAGAAGAAACTTAAGAGAATCATCACTATATATTCCATGACATATGAATTTTAAATTAGTAAGAAGGATATAAAGTTTTATCCCAAATTGGAAAAAAAAACTTAACAAAATACATAATTAAGAGCAAAATTTTCATAATACACATAACTATAATTATATAAAAATTAGTTATGAAACCCCTTCTATTGTTCAAAAACGCATGCAAGAGGGAAAGAGAGAGGGATCTTAGTGGGAGAGAGAACCAGAAAGGGCGTTGGTAACATTGAAGCAAGTCCTTGCAAAAGTAGCTCCCCTTTGGCGTGCGAGCTGTCCATGATTATGGAGAAGAGGAGCTCTGATGGAGGAGGAGAGGCCTATTTCTTCATCTGCAAGGGTGCATTGAGAGGCCATTCTCTCACTTCTATCCTCGCAAAAGGACACAGTCCTGAGCTGGGTGGATACAAACAGCTACAGGGATGAACCAATGCACTGGAAGCATTTACTGTTCAGCTCTATATAAGAAGCCAAACCCGCACATGTTTTCAGCTCTCACGCTACTTTCCACAACGCTACTTTCCAAAGTTTTAACTTTCTCCTTAAACAAAGAATCCAATTTGTTTTTTGTATCATCATTTTGCTAAAGCAAATTAAAAAATATCTTCTCTTCAGAAATTTTTATTCGAAGCATGCATATATAATTAAATGTAATTTTAATAATTAATTAAACCTAATATCATTTTGTGAATTATATTTATTTAATTTAGCAAATATTATTTAATTTGTATGTATAATCATTATATTTTTAATAGTAACGGTCACATAATAGATAAGATGGAATGATGCACGGCACCAAAGATGTGATGGAAGTATTTTATTTGTAATATGTGATGTCATTTGGCTAATCTTATGTCTAATTAATTCCATACATTTTTGACGAAGCAGCAGATATATATTTTAAATATAAGTGACGTTTTTTTAAATAATAATAATAATAATATTTATATTTATTGTGTACTAAGCTAGTTATGACAATAAAATGAGAAATTAATATCTTAATTTTCTACAAAGATTCGGCACACATAAATAAAAGAAATTTTCATAGAAACGGAAAGAAAAAATATTATAAGATCTGACCCAATTAAAAAAAATTATTTTGGGGGATTAATTAAAATAATTTAATGTATATATAAATTATGAAAGTTTAATATTCCTCATAATTGAAGAAGATGGGATAACAATATTGAAAGCATTTGCATGGTCTCCCTATTGTTACAGTATACATTCAATCTTTTAATTAATGTCTCGGAATTTCTAGTAATACTTAATATGTTAGATTTTGGATCATTTGAATTCAGATCGAATCATTTTAATGTCAATGAGTTAGTATTGTCAAAACATTTAATTTGATTATAAATTTGAAAAAATTGAAACTCAGATAATCCCGAATTTAAGGGATTGTTTGGTATGCGGATTTATGCCGGATTTGAGACGAAATACAGCCAAACAGCCTAAAATGCAAAACCAAATCTCACGGAAAATGAAAGCCTCCGTAGACGGAAAATTCCACCTTTTCGTCGTAAATCTCGGATTTCTGAAATCCTCTCGTTCGACGGATTTCCGAAATCCTCTCGTTCGACGAATTTCCGAAATCCTCTCGTTCGACGGATTTCCGAAATCCTGTGTCTCTATTGGCGTGGGAAGGATGAAACTCCGCCCAAATCTTTCAACCTTCTTAAATCCTGAATGGAATAGGTAAACAGTCACATAGGATTTATCATGATGGTGACCAAACAGTTTTCAGGATTTGGTAAATCCGAATTTGAAGGATTTACGAAATCCTACTTAAATGAAATCCTAGATCCTACCAAACAGCCCCTAAGTAATAACTCAAAATCCATTTGGTTAGATTTTATCACTTCTGATGCTACAAGTTTTTTTATTGGTTAGAGCATTAGTCAATTTTTAATTTCCGGTTAGCAAACTCTGCATACAATTTAATTTGGTAATGGATGACTAATCAAAAGGTAGGCAGCTAAAGGGATCGAGGAGAGATCATCAACGGTGGTGATGGGGTATTGGAATTGTAGCTGAGAGGAGAGCCGTTGAAGAAGAAGATGGCGTTGGAGATGGAGGATGACAAAGGATCTCACTATGGAAAGAATCCAAGGACGAGGCTTTAATACCATGGCACAAAGTTGATGCCAATTTAAGTTTAAGGTATTGAAAACAACTTTAAAATATTATCTGTTTGTGGCTACCAACACTACTTAAAAATGAGTATTTTCTAGCCCTTATTATCAGCATTTTTCAAACCAGCGCTAAAAGAAGATATAACCGCTAACTCCCTTATTACTCACCCTCCCTTGCCCTAATCTCCTCATTCTACTTGTTCGACTGTTCCTCGATCTGCTCCGTCCTTCTATAGGCCTTCTGAGAGTCTCCGCAACTTCCTGCTCGAGTCATCGCCAATCTGCCTCTGATCCTCCCCTTGCCGCTGCCACCGAAGCCAAGCTGTTCCATCACCACCGCATCCATTACTCCACTCTTATTTGCCATAACGGTTCATTTTACTCATTTTTCCGTCCATCATGCAGATCCTTCGGCCAGCCTCAACAACTCCTGCTCAAGCCGCCGCCGATCTGCCTCCAATCTCCTCCACCCTATCACCGCCGCCAAGTGTTTTCGTCACCATGGAATCTGGCATCACCGTTCAATCCAAGCACAATCCCTACCGCGGACTTTCATTTAAGCAACCCCCACACCTTGGTAACCCCTAAACCATTATATTAAGTTTGATTATCTCTTAGGCCCTATCTATGAATTAGATAGAGAATGCTAATTGCTTCTTTTGCAATGTACATTCGTCAGTCACAGTTCTTTACCTATTATTTGATGTACTTAGCATCCATATTTGAGTGGTCCTCTTACAAGGTGTTGAGCGTTAGCGCCTATCCTACCCGCTTAACAAAAGATTTGTTTCATTTATCATTTAATGGATGGATTCAGCTGCTCTCCCTTCCACTACTCTTTCCTCTCTAATAGTGTTGCAGCTTAATTTCTTGCTTTTTCAGCATATGACAAGCTTTCTGTGCTAACGCTCAACATTATATATCATTTATTTCAATGAAACTTTATGTGCTCATTTCGTTTGAACATTCACATGAAAGTGAGCCATGAGATTTCAATAATATTTTGTTGGTTCTTTGAGATGTATATATTAGTTGGAAAAATGAACATTTTTTTCAAGTGTGTGCCTTCTAACCATGCATGAGTTTTAAAGTCATTCGCTATAAGTTTGAACACTATTGGCAAAGATTTGCTTCTTTAATAAGATTGCCTTCTTATTAAAGAAATTATGTTGGATTTTAATTATTGACTGATATGTACCACTTACAGTACTATTTTAGTATCTGATAATTTATTCTTTGTAGGTTTTTGTTATTTGGTCAAGCAAAAATCACATGCACCCATGTGAATTTATGGCCTAAACCACTATTGAAGCTGCCAAATTTAGTATTTAATTACGTATTTATATCTTTGTTGGGTCTCATGAACCATAAGTTCTTAGACATCTTCATTTTCCTCAAGAAAACAAGTTAGGCCGATGTATTTGTGAGTATTGGAAATTCAAGATAACTATTAGTAACATTGAGTCGTTAAATTTTAACTTGATATGATGACTTATATGTATTTACTATATTCTCATATGTATTAGAATCATTATTATGCATTATATTAATCATCCATGATTTCAATAGAACTTGAATAGATTGAACAAATCAAAATAAAGATTATTAGTTTATCAATTCTAATTCATGAATCATGTAATTAATTTCATATTATCTTTTGTTGCATTTGAATAAAGTTTAAATAGCCCAACGTTTAAAGGCATGCTTATTTGCTTTGTAACTTTTAGTATTTCTACCCGACACCACTAAAAATTTGAACTGAAATTATTTCTGAGTTATTGTCAATGGTTAAAAACTGCAATCATGAATACAACAAAGGAGTGAAGATTTTTTATATTTTGCTAGTCGTAGCAAGAATCTATCAGATTTTTTTCATTTAATTTTCTTATATGATGACTAATCTAATTAAAGATTAATCAATTCACATTTATCAAGTTAGTTTTATATGGAATCTTATTATGTTGAGGAATCAGGTTGTTCGGTCGTCTAGGATCTCAGTTCAATTTATTATGCTCGTTTGGGGGGGGGGGCTGCCCCCCTACTCGAGTTAAATTTTTCCCCGTACAACGCCTCGGCATTGTGTACCTGAGCGACATGACATTGTATTCTCGAGCACTCAGTGTTGATCGACAAAGAGCAAAGCGCTACAACTCTCTAAATTGGTTCCATAATGTTTTTTAATGTTGCAGCACTGCTGGTTTGAGCGTCGCAGCATCATAATGACAAAGGTTTGAGTGCCATAGCATTGTGTGAAACAGACTATATAGTTTTCTTTCTTATTTTCCTAAAGGTTTGCGTCCCTTGGTATTATTAACTTGACTTTCTCTTGTGTTTTGAGTGTGAGAACGATATAAGTGAGAAGAGAAGGAGAGAGTGAGAGAGAAGAGAGATTTGTACTTATTTATTCTCATTTTTATAGTGGATTCGTTGGTGTTGTGTGGCTCCATGGTTTTATCCCAATTTTGAGTTTTTCACGTTAAATTATGATGCCCTTCTACTTTCTGGCCGCTGTTTTTCTATTTTCTTATTTGTTTCGTTGTGGTTGTTTACTCCTCATCCCCAACATCAACTTATGATATCTAATATTTATAGAAAGAGTTCATTATATTGTGATGAAACATGTAATAATAATAAGCGACAAAGAGAGAAAGAGAGGAAGAGGATAAAAGACGAGAGTTGTGCCATAATGGTGTCAACTGATAAAGAATAGATTTTTCTTTTTTAGTGCTTGCAAGAGTTGTTCAGCATCCTTAAGAATTTGAGAGTTTGTTATTACAAATTCTAACAAAATAAGAATTAAGTAATTTTTATGATAAATAATAGTTCTTATTCAAACTCTTATGATAAAAAAGAGAAGAGAGTAAGTACTAAGTAGTGCAACACCAAAAATTTTCTTGTATCTAACCCTCTTCTTCACAAAAAAGCGATTGCATTTTCTCTCAGCTACACAAAATAGTATGTTTATTAATATCTCTACTTTTATATAAAATGTAATTTTTCATGTATCTCTTTTGAAATTTAATGAATTATTTGATACTTATGTGGCGTGCATGAGCTTATTCTTATTTAATCCAAACTATATATATAAATATCAGTTTTCTTTTTCATGATAAGGTTGATCTATTTTTATAATTATTTTGTGGTTTATAGCACTTACCTTTAGATTAAGGGTTCGTTTGGGACGACTTTCTATTGCTTCTCAAAGCAGCTTTTCAGAAGCAATAAGAAAGTCGTCACTTCGTTTGATACTACTTTCTTGTACAAAAAATATGAGTTAACGAATTTTTTGTATTAAAATTTATTTAGAAAATA